CGGGGGGGGGGGTGTACGCATTTAGACCCATGCCGTAGTCGTCAGGCCATAGATAGATCTCGCATCCCTTCGATGGCGGGACGGAGCGATATGCCGAGGTTTCGCTGGCCCAAGCTGTGTACAATATACCCTTGACAAGGGTGAACCAGAAGGTGGTAGTGTCATCGTCCTTGCGTTTGCGACGGACAGACCACGGCAGGGGCATATGGCGTCGGCAGCCGCCATGGCACATCACATGTGTCTTATTTGACTTTGGCCCTGCTGTTGTTGTTCTCTGTTTTTTCTTTGCAGGTAGAGTCGCGGGTCCCGGGGCAGACTGCGGAGTACAGCGCCAACGAGCACCGGGTGAGTGAGGCACGGGGTAGCCTATCGAACGTGTTACCCCTCTTATCTTTCTTCCGCCACTCTCATTGTCTGGAAACGTGCCGTTTCCCGCGTACCATTTCCGTGCTTGTGTGGTTTCGGTTCCTCCGGTGTATTGAGTACGCCTGCGACGACTCGCGCATGCCTGCGTGTAATGTGCATGCGTGTTGTGGCTGGCCTTGGTGGTCTGACGGTTCCGTTGCGGTTCGTGCCATAGGTGGTGTGGACGATCAAGAAATTCCAAGGGTCATCGGAGCTGACCCTGCGAGCCAAGGTCACGCTCCCGAACGTGGTCAACGCCGCCACCCGAAAAGAGGTGAGACCGGGGGATTGCATGTCGATGAGTGCCCGTCCGCTCCCGTGGGTACCGTACTGCTCGGCATTGGCGGTAGGTCGGCGAAAGTAGGGGAGGCTTCCCCTCCCGAACGTACGGTGGAAGTGGTGAGGTGGCGCGAATGTTCGCCGCGCCTTTGTTTTGCAGTAGGGAGGTCAAAGCTTTCCCTCCGATTGGTCGAATGGCCAAAGTCAGATTGACATGGAATGGATTACCCTCCCGGCGTCCACTCTCCCGACGGCAAGAATGGATACGCGCTGTGCCTGTTGCTGCAGGGTATATGTTGTTGTAGTGCCAGACTCGTGGTTGCGATGCCAGGGTTCATCCGCACGCGCCCTCCCGGCTGAATTGTGTTTGGTTACCGTATGCGCCAATTTCCTCGTTTCGTCCTGGCCGTTCCTTGCAGGTCGGGCCGGTGTCGATGCAGTTCGAGATCCCCATGTACAACGTGAGCAACCTCCAAGTACGCTACCTCAAGATCGCCGAGTTCGCCAAGTCGTACAACCCTTTTCGGTGAGTCGGGCGTCGATCCAAGCCCGCGCAACATCACCAAGCAACACCTATTGTCGAGCGCTGCTGCTAATAGCATGAAGAGTGGAAGAGAACCCTCGTCGCCCATGAGCAGACGAGTTTCAGGGGGTCGGATTGATAGTTGGAGCCCGCCCTGCCCTCCCTTCTTGGGTGATGTCGGGCTTTCGCTTTGGGCAAAGCGTGCTGAACTCGCACCGGTTGGAATGCTTGCCAGTCTTTTGGTATGTGGTAGGTCCTCACCGGAGACGGGCTTGGGAATACCGCCGGGTTCTGCAGCAGTTTTTGCGGGAAAGACTATCGTAACAACAGCGCTCGTGTGTTGGGTTGTCGTGAGGGGTAACGTGTGATCCACGGGCGTACGTGCTACTCGAAGCTCTGGGCCAGAGAGATGGGAACATTGTTTTCGGACATGAGACATGCCGGTAAGCCACGGCGAGCGACTTCGCAGAAGGAAGCCACACGCGACCGGTCCGATGGTCGCACGCCTGATGATAAAGTCTAGACTACACAAACCGGGGGTGATGGTGATGGCGGCTGCAAGACACACACAGCAGTTGTCCCAAGTCATGCCGTTGATTGATAACCAACGTAGCGGGAGCACAAGAGTGCCACAAAGCTTGTCGTAGGACCGAACCGCTGTCCCTTTACGCGGCAGCTTTAGCGTGATCGAATTTGACCAGGACTGGTCCTCCCCGCGCCGCTACCTCACCCCCCTTGCTCGCCATTCTAATGTGCCGTGCCCCTTCGCAGATGGGTCCGATACGTCACGCAGTCTTCGTCGTACGTTTGCCGAGTGTAGAAGAATGGTTCTCAAGACCTCGCCAGCGCGATGGCTCCGACTCTCCCTCGCGGAAAAAGAGGGTGAGGGAGGGACGGCTACGAGGACAACGAGCGGATGCTGACTGGAGTTGCTGACCCAACAAGACGACAAAGGGGAGAGTGATGGGAAAGACTAACGGAGGATTACTTGTCGTTGATTTCAGCGACTATAATTACATATGCGCACACGTCGGAGTCTTGCCGAGAAGGCCTGAACCGGGTTATACATCGTGTTTGGTGATGCTTAGTTCGTCCACACGGATTCGGTCAGCTGCGTGACATTTGTGGCTCTCAAGGGGGATCGATCTCTGCGGAGCTGGACTGTAGCATTCTAGCTCCGGACGGACATGATGCTCCGGGTACTACGCATACGTCTGTGCGCTGGAACCAGTGGGGTCAGCGGGGGGCGGTGCTGCAGTGTTTCCTCGGCCATATTTTTCTGAGCGCAGTTTTGTGTCTGTGTTTTTTGTTTTACCGTAAGAAGACCCCTCGAGAGGAACCTCCTTGAGGGGGGTGTTCGCCCGGCCAGCACAAGATAGATGCACGGAAATCCTTGGAATGAGGCCTGTGAGCCATTCACCAAACTATGCCTATTGATCGTGATCACATCGAGAAAGCGCATCGCTTCCCTTTTCTTTTTCATGTATCATCTCCTCAAAGCCGGAGCAGAAATCGAGTGGTTCATACGACCGCCGCCGCCGCCGCCAGACCCGCTCCCGCTGCGCCCCCCCAGCGGCGGAAGAGTATTCGCGGAACCCCCGCCGGCGCTTCCCCCGCCCCTCGACCTCTTCCGGCTGAAAGTCGTCCCCGGTCCCGACCCGAACCCCCTAGCGGCTTCTAGCTCCATGCTGGAGACGGACCTGAGCATCCTGCTGTCTTCTCTGCGGACCCAGCTCGTCCTTGAAGACGCATCTCCCATCAGCTGTCACGGAAGGCGTGCGTGCATGCGGCGGGGGGGGGGGGGGGGGGGGGGNNNGGGCGTACTCTTATGTTTTGCATGCCTTAGCGGTTACACCATTGACCACGCGTTCTCGAGAGGACGAAGCATTGTTCCCACAGGACCGATCACCGATGGCCAATCGTTCCTTTCTACTTTGCCAAAGGTGGCTCAAAAATGTCTTCCCTAGTTTGTCTATCCTAACGATATCCCTTCCCGCCTTTTCAACCCACCTCCTATGCCCCAGTACAGCTACCGTCCTTTCCTCTCTATTCCATGCCTCAAACATCTCCCTGTACGTTCCATCTATTTTTCC